CACACACACACACACACACACACACACACACACACACACACACACACCCTTATGAAATCTGACTCCTGTTTATCAGGGTCCCGCGCGCCCTTTGCACTTTTACGTTTCACTTAATTATTTCAGACTTGATCGTGGCGTGGAACAAGGGGTACAAAAAAAACGAACACCCAGCCTTCACCAGCTCCCCTCGAAGGGTTAAATTTTAAACGGCGGTTTCTCGGACGGGCCCGGAAACCTAGAGTGGGGGTGGGGTGGAGTGGAGTGGGGGGCTGCATCTCCCCCTCGGGGTCGCGGATGCTAATGACTATTCAGTTTTCTAGACCGATCCTTCTAAAGCTTATGCAAAAAAGAAAAAGGAAGGAAAGAGAAAGAAAAGAAAAAAGAACCAACAACTCTGTTTCTAAGATTTTAAAGCGATAGACCAGATGGAGAAGCCGAGATTGACTTGGGGGGAAGCAGAGTGCGTGAAGCCGACCCAGCGTTTGGAAGACCAGCCCGCCCGCTTGGACGTTGGACTGTTGATTCCTCCAATTAATGAAATGCATTTGGTGTTAATCATATTTATCTTATTTTATGGGCCGGGGGGGGACGCTAGGACGGTGCATTCAAAAAAAAAAAAATTCTGAAAAGCCTGCAAAACGATCGAAGAGTGAAAACTATTGTTGGACCGACTTGGTTTTTACCTCAACAGCGCCACCTTTCGGCAAAGGTCAGTTGAAATTGATCCGTGTCCAGTTCTGTTGATGAAATGAAAAGAAGCTGGTTTCCCTAGGTGGGAGGAGAAAAGAGGCACAGAAAGTTAGTTTGACTGCAGTGGGAGAACCCGACTTTGTTAGGAAAGGGGCTGAAGGCAGTGCTGGCAGGTGCGAGAATCATTTTTCTCTACCATCCCCCTTGACTGTGAATACAGAGGCCAGGGGACCCAGGAGCCTTCCAAGTGTAACTACAGCTGAGAGGCTTATGCAAGAGAATCCCATGTAACAAACAGGGCCCCAAACCCTTTAAAAGTGCCAGGATGGATTTTCGACGGGCTTTATGGCAATATCAATAGAATTAAAGTTACTTGTAATTCAGTGATAAATGAGATGTCTCTAGTAAGATTAAGTGCAGTGCTATAAAGTTGTTTATCTGAAAAGTAATTCTCAGAAAACCTGACTTCTGACACTTAGTCATATATTAAGCCAGCTTCTTGAACACTGCACTTCAGAATGCTCTCACCCACCGGACAGCATACTTTACTATTTATAACGAGACCTTAGGTGTCACTCATTGGCTTCATACACCAGATTAGACTTGTGTTAATTTCTCTCATGCTGGCAGCCTTGGGTTTCAGCAAACCCTGGAATCCCTAATGAGAGATTCCCCAAAACGTTTGTAGGCACATCGTTACCCTAAAAGGACAGCACTGTTGCTGTTTTCTAGAAAAGCACTTTTTCTTTTCATCATCACTGCAGAGAAGCTGTTTATATGGGTAGTTTTGGTTTTATGGGAGTACTTTGTCGGGATGGAATGAGGTATGTCTATTACCAGTTTGGGGAAGAAAGAGTGAAGATTATGTCAATATTTATGCAACCTAACAGAATTCCTTTGCTTTCCTCCTCTCAAACAGTATTTCACCTAGTAATGAAGTTAAGGGATTACAGCTTATGTATTCAGAGGAAAATTTACTGCTTAAATTACATAAACATATCGTGTCATTAGCATTGTCTACAGCAATACTTTTCTAAGCCTTTTTAAAGTCACTAGCCACAAATGTCTGAAGTTTCTATTTTGCATGTAAAGTATGAATTTCAGCATGCTTAGGAAGAAGTAATTCAGTTTTTACGAGAATTTGTTTCTTTAATCCTTTTGCATCACAGTTTTGGTAAAAGCTGTGAGATACGATCCCTGCCTTTCATGAAAGTATTTTTGGTCAGGAACACTGAAACTGCTACACTTATAAATAAAACAACATTTATAAACAAAGTTCACCAATGAGGAAGACCATGAGATATAGATTCATGGCCATGCACCTAACTGTTGCAATTATGTGTCATTTCTAGATATTAAATACCCATGTTTGGTCAGATAAATGTATTATTATCTGCACATTTTTATGGTTTATTTTTGTACACTGCTGTCAAACCAGGCAGGATATCTTTTTTTTTCTCTCATTGCAGAATCTTTTATAGTCTCCCATTTTCTCTTGGGAAAAAAAAAAAAAAAGGAGGATCCGAATTATTTTTTAGACGTGGAGCAGCAGTGCCCTCAAGCTTATAACTTAATTCTCATTTTTGTCCTTTTCCTTTATTATTTGGTGATTCACAGGGGTGTCTAAACATTTACAGTCTTCTGTTAGTGGCATTTCTCTTGTAACAATTGAGCTCTCTCATTTTAATTAGTACTATTGAGGTTTTTGAGTCTCTACAATTATAGCAGGCCACATTTCTTTAGATTTCTTTGCTAACATTGTTTGTTTCACTTTGCTCCAAGCCAATCTAATCCAAATACAATATGAACTGTGTCTTCTTACTGCTTAATACTCCCTTGCTATATATACTCTAGTAATCTCTGTAGAACAATACAGAGTAATTTAGAAACCATGCATTTGTCATTATTGACCAGTTCAAACCAGTAGCATTCAGGTTCCTGAAAGCAGTGAATCTTTATAGAAGAATTTGCGGGAGGGAGGAGGGCATGGGTCGGATCACGTAGGAGATTGTGAAACCGTAACATCAAAAACACAATTTTGGTTTCATGTCAGTACATACATAATAACTTTTTGCAAAAAAACCTATTTTAAACCCTGTTTACGTCCAAATTATAATGATTAAAAGTGAAAGATAATATAGTTTTCCTGATTGTGAGTTACAGCAACTCAGGTATATCATGTTGGAATCAGACACATATAATCTAAAAAGAATAAGAGGCATCACGGGTAGTGTCTGAACTCTTTTTATCCAGGAGCTGATTTTATGGTGCAGAACTAACCAGTGTCCACTGAGTTTCACTCTGAAACCAACTAAATCGATTTGAGAAAAGAGTTGTTCAGAGGAACTGAATGATAAGGCATGGAGTGTTGTTCCTAGCTGTAGTGTTAGAGAAAAATCCTTTCAGCAGTCTTTAGTGAGCAGGGCAAGTAAGTCAGAAATCACTGTTAGCAGATTCATGGACGAAAATTAATCGAATCAGACGAGATAATCTGATAAGGGTAAAATTGCTGAGGAAACAGTCTTGCCTCATATTGGAGAATGTGAGACAACAGTCTGATTACTGGGAGTCGTTATGAATAGGTGAATTATGTGCTAAATAATCATCAGAGTAAATCAGCATTTATTAATTCTTTTCTCTTTAAGCAATTCACAGTTGTAAGTTAAAGCCGCTCTCTCTTTGAAGACACATCTTCTATAATTTTTATTAGAGGTAATTTATTATTTGCATTACCTGTATTTACTTCATAATTGAACATTTTACATTCAAATTTATGTAATGCATTATGCCTGAGAATATATTTCTGCCTGATTAGCATAAATAGTCACTTACCTCATGAATTACTAACAAAGTTTATCTTAAAATATAGGTTTTTTTTTATTAAGTGGAACACAAACATATGTACAGTAAATTCTGATTTTCCAGTGCAGTTAGGGAACGGCTCACGTTTGGTTTCGGGGAAGGCAGGCCATCAGAGGAGGGGAGTAATCGTGAGGAGAGGGCGAAAAGTAGACAAATGGCATCTGGAGGTTTCTTTGGGGGGGGGTTATCATTTCGATGCGGGTATAGGCCTGGTGCGGGTGGGCAGCGGGACGAGGGCAGAAGAAGGGTCTGGGGTCTTCATACACTGTTTACATTGTTTACTGGAAAGTGGATTCTGGAAAAAAAACCCACAACTCGTCACCTGTGCCTTTGTGAAGGACCCTGGTAGCAAGTGCCCGAGTCTGGGGTCTTGTTTGTTTTGTTTGCTTGTTTGTGTCAGGCTCCCAAAGAGTTCTACCTTAGAACACAATACACATCATTTAATAAAATTCTTGTTTGTTTTGCACCAGAGATGTGGAAAAGCCAGATGTTTTCTCAAGTGAGAATTCCCGGGACAGCCTCCCAGATTTCCTCCAGCTTTCCTCCCTCCCTCACCCGACAGACACCCAGTGTGGCCTGGCAGACAGGACGTGATTGATAATAGCTCTGTGCACACACCGGCATTTGAACGAAAGGACTTCTTTGGGGTTTAGGCACCAGATGGAGATCCAAAATGATGGGGCCTCTTCCCTACTCTCGCCATTCCAAATCAACAGATTTCCACGCTTGTTGGTTTCTTTTTTCCTTCTTTCCTTTTTTCAGGCCATGGACATCTCCCTAGCTTTTTCTTTTCCTTCAATTAGGAACCACTTGCAATTCACCATTCCATTGTTACCCTTTTTGATTCTACTCACAGCTGTACCACGCAGGGAACTTGTCTCGAAAGCATTCAACCCTTCAAAGATTTACTGTGCTGACATCAGAACTGATGTTTTTTAAAAAGGCAAGAATAAAGAAACGAACCTGATACTGGGACAGTGTCTGTTCAGGATGTGTCTTCTGTGCAGGGGAACCCAGGGGACAGGCTGGTGGTAGTGCTGCCCCTGTAGAGTTTTGGTCACTCTCCTTCCTCCCCCTGGGTCTGGGGTGACTCTTAGGTCCTGTTCCAGAGGCATTTAGCAGCCACTCGACCTGGGAGCTGGAACCTGGAGTTCTAGAAAACACAAACCAAACTGAAATACATGTGTGCTGACTGCAAGCGTCTGCTGATGCAGATGATTTCTGAATCTGTGTGTCTCTCAGTCTGTTTGGCTGGACCTGAGGGAAGAGATCCCTTGGGGCCTGTGTTATGTCTTTGTTCTCGGTTGCATCATGGGTTTTGCTGAACCTTCTCACGTGTTGTTCTGTGCACTGAAAACACCAAACTCGTCCAGTGACACCCTCACGGCGTCATCCATCATGGCAGTGTTGCTGGTTGAACAGAGAACTGAGTGAAACATCCCCGCCCCTAACCCCCAATAAAAATGGAAGTCCAACGTATAGACCTTTTGCCAGTATTCTTATTTTGTCATTTTATAAACAGCGATCCATGCTCTTGGTTAAATATAAACATTTGAACAAGACAGAAATGGGAGGACATCAAACAAGAGAACCACAATGCCTCACCTCCACTCTGGTCCCCTAATCGTGGTCTCAGGTGTGACCATCTATGACAGTCGGGGTCCGGGTGGACACTCCTTACAGAATGGAATCGTAGCAGGCACGCCATGCTTCATGCCATGCTCCTGGCAACACACGCACCCTAACCATCTCAAAAAGCAGCTTGTGGCACTCCTCTGTTCTTTGGCAGAATTCACTTCGGAGAGGGGCCCAGGAAAACATTTTCATTTCTTCTAAAATCAGAGTTAAAGAAATGAAAATCATCTAGCATGGACTCTGTCAGTATACAAACAAAGCCATAAAATTTAATTAAGTTTTCTTGTGGAAGGAGTCCATGGAAACCAAAGCACGTAGCACCCACACAAGTCCGTGTGTGGTCCTGACAGCATGTACTTGATTACCTCCAGTGACTGGGTGCTCACTACCTCCCTATTTTACCTTCTATCTTCACACAGTCCTGAGACTGTCAGGAAAGCTGTTTGTTTGTTTGTCTGTTTGTCTACTGTCAAGTCATATCCCTTCTTCTCTACATGAGTCTTGATTTTATACACTCAGAAGGCGACATCCTTACATCCTTTGCGGGCTCTGAGGAGTAGAAGACAACCACTATGACACCCTCTCCGTGCCTTTCCTTTTCATTTCTAGACATAGTCAGTGCCTTTAGCATTTCCACATATGCCTGCATTTCAAGCGCCCCTGCCTCGAGGTCGCTGCCCCCACCTGAGGGTTCAGGTTCCAGAGCTGAACCCAGATCCCCAGGCTGTAGCCCCACCCTCTGCCTCCTTGAGCTGCAGCCTGTCTGCTCCCCATGCTAGACCACAATTTCCCGACCTCTCCGGCAGACACATAACACCAGGGACTCATCGAGCACGGCCCCAGGCCTTTTCTCCTCGTATTTCCCCTATCTTCTGTTTGTGGGCTAACGTTTTTGAACCCAAGCACGGAAACATACAACGATCCCCCTAGGGTCCATCTCATTCGATCAAGACTGTTCCCTGCTGCCTAAATCTCTTTGAATCTAGGATGTGACATCGACTAGTTTTAATTCACTTCCCACCTTTGCACCAGCTGCAAATGAAACTGAGGCGCTTAACCTCTCAGAAGCAGGCCCCTCACCTGCAAAATGGGAGGTGGGCAGGATCAGAGATTGTGCCTGTGAAGTGGCTTTCACCACATGAGGCCACAGGGCAGCTGTATAAATGGCTGGGGACCTCTGCACTTCTGACCCTCCCCCTGACCTGCTGATGGCAGCATTGCAAGGGACCAAGCCCCTCAGCAACCCAGTAGAGACGGCCCCTCCCAGTCCCCCCATTATACAAAATGACCCGCTGGATTATTTGAGTCCCCTAGTGGACATAAAAAATTAAATGGGCCTAGAACATCACCAAATCAACAGGGAAATGCAAGTCAAAGCCACAATGAGAAAGCCTCACACCTGTTAGGATGGCTATTACCGAAAAGACAAAAGATAACAAGGGTTGGTGGAGATGTGGCAAAAAAAGGGAACGCTTGTGCACTGTTAGCAAGAATGTCAGTTGGTGCAGCCACTGTGGAAAACTGTATGGAGGTTTCTCAAAAAAATTAAAAATAGGACTACCATATGGTCCAGCAATTCCACTTATGGGTATATGTCCAAGGGAAATGAAATCAGTATCTCAAAGAGATAGCTGGACTCCCATATTTATCACAGCATTATTTATAATAGTCAGGATATGGAAACCGCCTAAGTGTCCATCCACAGGTGACTGGATAAAGATAATCTGGTATACATATACAATGGAATATTATTCGGCCTTAGAAAAGAAAGAGACTCTGACATTTGTGACAACATGGATGAATCTGGAGGACATTATACTAAGTGAAATAAGCCAGACAGAAAGACAAATACTGTATGATCTCACTTATATGTAGAAACTTAAAAGGTCACACTCACAAAATCAGAGATTAGGATGGTGGTTATGAGGGATTAAAGGATGGAGGAAAATGGGGAGAAGCTGATCAAAGGGTACAAAGTGTCAATTATGCAGGATGAATAAATTCTGGAGATCTGTTCTACAGCATGTTGGCCGTAGTGACCAATACTGTGTTGTATATTGAGTACTGTAATTTGCTAAGAGGGTAGATCTTAAGTGCTCTTAACACACAGACACACACACACAGACACACACACAAAGAAGATAGTAACTATGTGACGTAATGGATATTTTAACTAGCTTGATTGTGGTAATTATTTCACAATGTATACGTATACCAAAACATTACATTGTGCACCTGAAATATATACAATTTATATTTGTCAATTATATCCCAATAAAGCTGAAAAAAAAAAAAGGAGTTGGCCTATTTGGTAATTGGAATAATTTTAAACTAACTTACCCCATCTGGATGTCCTATACCCACCCTTCTGATCAATTCTAAAATTACATTGTTTTTGGTATAGACAGAGCTCTCTGTCGTAGATGGCAGATGACTTAGACAACTGTTTGTAGTTTCACCTGCCCTGATCTTTGTAAACCTTCGCCCTGTCAAAATATAGTAGTTGTCCAAAGCTGGGACCTCAGAGACTAATAAAAAATAGATGTAACCTAGAAAAACTAAGCAGAAGAACTCTGTGTGTGTATGAAAGCCTCTTAGCGATCCATTCCTTCCCCCCTGGTTTTTTTTGTTTCGATCACCACCTCTCCTGCCATTTCCCGATGCCAGTTTTGAAGCCGGGAGGCTCCAAGGCATTTTCTTTTTTTTTTTTTTTTTAAAAACATCTTTATTGGAGTATAATTGCTTTACAATGGCAAGGCGTTTTCTTGAACAGAAGAGTTCAGAGTTGCCAGTGTCCACCTTTGAGCTGCAACTGGTCCCCCCCGGTCTCTCTTGAAAGGATCTCAATGTGCAGGCTTTCGCAGAATCTGCCCTTCTTGGTTCCCATCTCACCGCCTTGCAGAGGAAGCTGGGCGTGAAAGCAGGAAGGAGCCGGTGGGTATTTATGACCTGCTCTCTGGGGTCTCTGTCCTGCCTGAGAACGTGGTGCCGGCTGCTGCAGGAGACTCGGCCGGGGATCGTCACCGGGGCTCCGGGGGAGTGATGGGGACTCTCCAGGCGAGTGTCACCGACTGTGGCCTCCAGGCTCTGTGAGGAGCTGCTAATCGGGGCTGAGTGATGTGGGCGCTGGCCGGTTGGGAAAGGTGGGTCGGCATGGAGACAGGCTGCTGATTCACCCTCTGACCTCAGCAAAGCTTCCCTGTCTTCTCCAGCTCATTTTTCACGCTGAAAATGGGCTGGACTGCACGAAGACGTTAAAAAACAAATCTGAATTGCACGGAGGGAATGTTCTCGGCCCTTTGAGGCTGAATACGGGCTAAGTAAGCATGGCCCAGATACCCATATGCAGAGACAGAGCTGACATGCTGTGATGCTGTAAAGCACTGGTGGGTCTCAATGACAAGGTCACGATATCGTTGAGGTCAAAATGACAGAGCCAGTGAGGTGGGGCAGAATGGGAGGGCCAAAGCCTCCTGCATCTCCAGGCCAGACGATGCTGGGCTTTTAGGTCAACGATGTTCAGAGCCTTTAGTGGCCGAGCAGTGAGAAGGTAAAGCATGGATTTCTGAGGGTTGCTGAGCCAGGAGATGCTGCCCTTTGGCAGCAGGCCGACATGGGGTCTGAATCCTGCTTCATCCCAGGTGTGAGACCTGGGCAAGTTGTTTGACCCAGCCTCTGGGCCTCAGTCTCTCCCAGGTCAAAGGTGGAGAGAGTTTTTGTCACCACGATGAGCATGGGTACCCAGTGCCTGGCATATGTCAGCCAGTCCCCTGGTGAGTGCTCAAAAGAACTGATCTCCTAGTATGTGCCAAAGGCCGTGCTGACGTCCCACGCACACCGTTTCCATCTATGACGCCTCGTGCATTCCAGGGTCTCAGGAAACGTTTTCCCTTCTGTCTTTTCTGCTCCTGCCTTCAAGCTGTAGTCAGCCCCAAACCTGGCAGAGTTCCTCTTTCTTTCCCTTTCTCCTGAGACTTTGTATAATTTCGCCCACCTGGAACTCCATGCCCTGCCCCCCCGCCATCTTCCCTCTGTCCTATCTCCTGGCTAATTCTGATCCTTCTTCAGGTCTTGGGTTTCCTCTTAAAAGCCTTACCTGAGTCCTTGTGCCAGTCCACTAGCCCCAAGGTGGGCTAGGTGTCCGGTCCCTGTGCTCACTGCCTCTGAGCCCTCATGGTGCCACGTGAATGCCCCACCTGCCCTGTGAGTGTCCTGAAGCCAGGACGACAGCTCTCATCCCTCCAGCTTCTTTGCCTACTGCAGTGCTCCGCACACAGTAGGTGCTCAACACATATTTATTCAATGACAGTGACTACACGAACATTCCGGTTCCTAGCCTTGCTTTCTGAAGTGCTAAGGCACACGAAACGTCCTGCCAAGTGTCCCAGGTGGCTGCCGTGTTGCAGCAGGGCAGTCCCCACACTCACCTCTCACTCGTCCAGTGGCGCATCCCTCCGTTACCAGGACGCTTATCTTGTTCCCTAATCGGCCTGCGTCTTCCCGAGCAGGAAGTGGGTGGAAACATGGTGGAGATGTGCGGGCCCTGGAACTGAGGTGGAAATCAGCAAGTCTTGCTGGGATGGAATTCGGGATGAACGGAGGGAAGTGATTAAATACGCCGGTGTACCAAGGTGTGCCACCCGTATTCCAGCGCTGGCTGCCGCCGCCACCGAAGTAGGCCCCATTCCAGCCTGGAGTCACAGCTGCCTCCCCAGGGCTTCGAGGGACACGGACACTCTTTCGTCATCTTCAAATACGAAAGCCCGCCTGCCCCCATTTCCACATGCCCAAATCGTGCTCATCCCCCGGGCGCAGCTCTGGCGCAAGGCTCCATGGAGCTCTGACCGCGGGGACTGGCTTCTGATAAGCATTTAGTAAAGGTTGGTCGTTAATGCAATTGCCGCTGCTTCCAGAAGCCGTCTCCGACTCCCGCCTTTTCTTTGTGGATCCCCACAGGTGCATCTTGACCTCCCTTCTGGAGCCTTCTGGAGCTCTGGGAGCTCATGGTGCAGTGGCTGGGCAGAACCGGGTTCAAGGCGGGCTTTTGCTACTTCCTCGCCGTGTGAGCTCTGAGTCCTTTACGTGCTCCTCCAGTCCTGGTCTTCAGCACATGCTGGGGCGCCAACTATTGGCCCTCTTGGTGTTGCAGGTGAAAACACTGGGACCTAAACTGAATTAAGGAGAAAGGGACCTTCTGGGCCCACGTGCCCCAAAGGTGCAGGAACAGAGCTGGTTGCAGGCAGGAGCCACACGATGTCCTTGGCACCGGCTTCCTCACCCCTCTTGTGCCTGGACTCCAGGCCAGGGCTCCCTGCGGGAGCAGCTCCAGCTCCAGCAGGTCCAATGGGAGTCGGGCTGAGTCCCCAGTCGGGCACATGGAAGTCATGGCTGGGGTCGAAGTGGTCTGGCTCATGTGACTGGCTATCCGCCCACCCCGATCCAACCCCTGCGGCAAAGGGATGAAATATGCTGACTGACTCAGATTAGACTCAGAAATGGGGTGGGCAGGGACGCGGGAAGTGAGTCTGAGTCTGAGTCAGTGAGCATACTTCATCCCTTTGCCACAGGGGTTGGACGGGCAGGGACACGGGAAATCACGGAGCGTGACGGAGGAGCTGTCCTCCGCAGCATGGGGCCCCTCACCAAACGACAACATGACCGACAGCCAGAACGAACATGCTACTCACCCGGGCCCTGCCCTTGGCTTTAGCTCCCTCGCTCTTCACAACGGCCGTCAGAGATACGTGCTGCTCTTTCCACGTAGCTGAGAAGGAAGCTAAGGTACGGAAACGTGAGGGAGACTTTCCAAGGTCTCTCAGCTGGTGAGGGGTACAAGGTATGAATCCAGCATGGCGGCAAAGTTCATGCTCCAACCATCTTATTATCTATTGTGAGAGGGAGATAGACCAGAAACACATAGACAAATAACAGATACTGTAAGATATTATATAATGTAATGTGGTATAGCATAGTATCACATAAGTTAGTATAGTATTATATAATATAGTGTTGTATGTAAAATCATATCATATATCATATCAGGAAAGGCACTGGGAAGTGGTCCTTTTTTTTTTTTTTTTTGGTTGTGCCTCTCGGCTTGTGGGATCTTAGTTCCCCCAACCGGGGGTTGAACCTGGGCCCTCGGCAATGAAAGCTCAGAATCCTAACCACTGGACCGCCAGGGAATTCCCAAGGAAGTGGTCCATTTTTGTATCCGTCCCGAGAACACCTATCACCAGCATGGAGCATCACGGGTACTGGATAAGTGTTGACCAGCTGACCAAATGAGTCATTCTATGAGTACAGCGAGAATCCTTTGATCTGAGAACCTTGTTTCTGCCATGGTAACATCATTATTATTACATTCCTATGTTTGTTTCGGTCACCCAAGAAGAACAAATAATCAAAAGAAGAAAGTTTGAGGAAAGATCAGGTGAGCTGAAATTTCTAGACCTATAGCCCTCTGGCTTCCACTGGTAGTGGGTGTTTAGAGATGTCAGGCTGACCCTGTGTGTCCCTAAGACTGTCTTATTGGACCCTTCAGGTGGAAAAGACCCCAGGAAGTCTGTTTTACAGGCAGGTGGAAAACGAGTTAAGGGTCAAAGGCAAATGGTACAAGGCTTTTGTACTTAATCTTTTTCCCTCCTTCTATAAAAGTGCCTTTGACATTTTTGAAATCTCTGTTACTATCCCTGAATTGGTGTTTGCTACACACGATTATGCACTGGTCTGTCTGTGGGTTGTTTTTGAGTGCTAAAGTGCACAGGTTGAGCTGAGAAGTGAAGATTTTGTGTTTTAAAGATGAGGTCTATCCCCTCTCCTGGCCTTCTCAGAGCATAGGTTTTAAGGCAAATAAATAACCTTGGATTTCCTCACTTCAGCCCCTGCCTCCCAGCTTGTAGGCCAGTAGTACGTGACGCATTTAATCGAAGCATAAGAACGATTATGAAAATGCCCGTGAAATTATGTTCACATCTGCAGTCCAAATTGCGAATATCTCACCTCCCTCTACCGTCCTGGTGTCATCTGATCTCAGTTCCCTTGAGGTGACTAAGAGCCTAGTCATTAATATAACACCCACCAGCTTTATTGGAACTTACCGTCAGAAAGGTCTGCTTCCAGAAACTCCCTGCTCTGAATGCAGCTGCAGGGCCGGCCTTTCTTGGCCATTGCACAAGTCCGTGCATTGTCTCTGTACGGGAATCACTCCCCAGACTTGAGCACCAACATGAGATCGTGGTCCGTGTTCTACGTCGCAGGGAAGAAAGGCTTGGTTTAAAGTTACACGACAGGGGAGTTAGACTTCTAGAAGTAGCACTCGCTTGCCTATATTCTCACCCTTCCAACAATGCTGGGATCATGTGGTACAATGTGGTGATGATGATGATGATGATGGCGATGATGATGACGGTGATGATAAATGACCACTATCAGGAGATAACAGTGGATAGAGAAATGATCCAGACCCCACGAAGAAGGAACCATTCAAATCCAGAACATGGGTAATTCTCTAAGACAAAGGCTCCAGCTTCTCTGACAAGTGAATGACCTGTAAAAGAGAAGGGGAGAAAGGGAGACTGCTGCAGATTAAAGCAGACATTCTGTTAGGTCTAAAAGCAGTGGCACAAACCCAGAGAGGCAGCAGTAGACTGGTGGGAGCGCCAGCTTGCGGGGGAGGCACGGGCCAGTGTCTACACTGCATGGCCTTTCCCACATCCTCGCATTTACCTGTGATGAGGTCCCCTGCCTTGGGAGACCTTCTCTGGTTGCTTCTCCTAATCACAGTGAGACGGTATGTGTCCACTCTATGCTCCAATGCCAGCACGGCCTTTGGGACTGTGCATTGTAATTATCCATATATATTTGACTTCTTGAAAATTTGAGGCAATTGCAGACCCACATGGAGCTGAAAGGAATAAAATGCAATTTTATTACATGCGTAGATTTGTAGGATCGCCCCAACATGGTCAGGATGCATCACAAGGGTCTCTCCTGCTAGACTTTTGTAATTGCCTGTTTACTCTATTCTCCTCACGATGCTGAGAGCATCTTGATCCAAGGGTCTTATGTTTCACCTCTGCGTCCTGGTTCAGGCTAACTCATACCAGCACCTAACTTCTAGGTGCTCCTACGTGAAAGCTTGCAGAAGAGACTCAAATTCTACCACAGTAAGAGAGGAGGAGACTCAGAATACTGTCTAGAAAGGGTCTGGCCAAGAGGGAGAGAAAACATCTCCAGGCACGAAGCACTAACAACGTACGATCTTAAGGGAACTATTCCTCTAGAGAGGACTGTGGAGATCTCAGTGGTAACTCTGGCATCCTACGGCCTTAAAATACCATCCCCTCGGGTGATTCAAACAGAAACCTGCATTAAGGGAAGGGTAGATTTCGCTGCAAAATGAAACATGTACACCTGACTTTTATTTTTTGGTCCTAATTTTATTCCTTTTGCATCATCTTTCCATGAATATGGGGGCTCTGAGGTTAATGCACTTGAAAATGGACTCGTGGTGATTCAGGCCATGGGGACATCTCCCCTGATGGGGACAGTGCCTTGAGCAAGGAATTGGAGGTCGTCAGCAAGAGTGTTGGGATTTTTCTTTAGACTTTCTCATGACAGATCTGGAAGAAGGCAAGTTTTCTTTAATTGGTCTCTAGCCCACTCTTGCTTTTCATCCTACTACTCTTAGGATTTTTGGAAACTGTCTTGGAGGAGCAGGGATCCTCAAATTACCCCAAGGACCTACTCACGTGCATCACTGACGCATGAAGACACCAATGACAAGTCTGAATCCCTAGGTTTTGATGAATGAACAAATACCAACGTATGTAAGATGACTCTGAGTTTTCCCCCAGCCCAAGTCCTGAAAGGGAGTGACCGGTTGACCCTCATTGAAATCCTTAAGTATCAGGTCTTTACTCACGGAAAGCTCGTCCTGTGTCAGATTTTGTGTTAGTCGGGTAGACAGAGGGATAACAAATCCTGTTACTCATCCCTAGCCATATATCATTTCATCTGCCTGTCCATCCATGCGTCCATCCACCCATTTTCATGTACAGAGTGCAAATTTCTTTTAGTAGCTCCAGGGGACATGGGAAAGGCCATGGAAGCAGTAGCTTTTTTTTTTTTTTTGCGGTACGCGGGCCTCTCACTGTTGTGGCCTCTCCCGTTGCGGAGCACAGGCTCCAGACGCGCAGGCTCAGCGGCCATGGCTCACAGGCCCAGCCGCTCTGCGGCATGTGGGATCTTCCCGGACCGGGGCACGAACCCGTGTCCCCTGCATCGGCAGGCGGACTCTCAGCTACTGCATCACCAGGGAAGCCCAAAGCAGTAGCTTTTTGAACTTCTTTGAGGCACCTTCTAGGCACAAACGCATCTTTGCCTCTTAGACATAACATCAGCCCCTTAGAATACACGTAGGACAGCTTCTTGGTGACAAAAGGAACCGGTGTTATTACCCTCCTGCTTTAAGTAAGAAAACTGGAAAATCTGACAGAAAGGTAAACCCTTGCTGTGGATAGGCCCCTGGTGCCCCCGGCACTTAGTATATTTTGTGTTTTGGTTTTCCAGAAATGAAAATCTCAGGGAAATGAAAAAAATATATTATTTTTTCCCTCATTGGCATCTATCTGTTCATCTCTCTAGGGGAATCTACTTCATATGGAATTCCCTGTGATTCTTCCCTTTCACCTGGGGAAGTAGAAAATTTCTCCTGAACAACTTTGCTGAGGCTTCCTGAAGCTTCATCGTGACGGGACACATCTCACAGACAGAAGGGCACCTTGACTGGGTCATTCTCACTGGTTTCCTGTGGTTCTGTGAGAACCAATGGATTTGGATGGAATGGAATATGCCCTTGAAGGCTTAAAGGCGTGTCTCGTTGAAGCCGGTTTAGAGCTCATTGGTGCCGGTGAATGAACACTCCCATCATTCTGCACTGTGATGATCTTTCCCAGCTATTAGAAACAAAATCCAACTGGCTGGTCACCTAATTTTTCCAAATACAGTGACAGAATCTCACTGCAAGCACCCCTATTGCCAAATCCTTGTCTACAGAGGTTTGGCACAAATTCTGATGTTACGCAACAGAAGCTGGGAAGAGAAAACACGTACTCAACAAATGAGAAGAGAGAAGATGCAAAAAAGAACAAAGCCTGGGCTTACAACTGTGCTTATGTTGTCTTCAGGCACAGTCGAGTCAGGGCACCGTGCTGCGGTCTGATGTCGTCAAGGCCACATACCCTTGCACAACTTACGGGGTTGGGGAATAATTACTGACGGCACACTCAGAGGCAGGGCTTTTCTCATTGCTCTAGGGAGTCAGTACTTATACCTTGTGTTAACTAACCTGTCTGGATAAGATGTTTAGGGGAGTCTCTTCTCCGTAAAATGTCAGAGCTACATCAGAGGCACACAGGAGTATGTCTTAGACGTCTACGCGTCTATATGTGCACCCACATTTTCCAAAGCTGTTTCTGTGTCAAAGCGTGTGGCGGTAACGCCACACGGTGCCTGGCACGCAGCAGCCGGAAACTGGTTTCCTCCTGATTTCCAACTTGGGAGGCACTGGGAGGTGTCAGTATATCTGCTGGGGGTACCACTCGCATTGTACAGACACTTCATTTCAATCAAATCATCCGCCAGCGTGTGCCTTCTCGCTGCAGCTAATAACTCTTTGGTACAGTGCTTTGGAATGTCCACTGGCAGACGAGTCTTGCCCAAGCCACGTTGGGTCGGCTGGGGCCGGGGCACGACCTTGACCCTCCGGACTTCCGGCCCGTGCTCTGCAAGAGACGACCTTGCTTCTCTTCACTGTCCTTGCTGAGACGTTGTTGACTTAGCTATGAAAGGAGCTGCCCACATCTCTGGGAGGCTCCCTTACAGGCGAGATCTGTGAAGAGTCTGGCACCTGTGCTCAATCAATAGACACGGCTACTGCTATTATTACTAATCATCGGCTTTCTGAGAGAATTCATAGAAACGTGTGACTTGGCTTCTTCTGCTTCTGAGAACCGGAGGTGAGTGCCTGCTCCTTGGAGGAAGTTCTGTGGCTTAGAGAGAAAGAAAATCGTATACCAAAGTGACCTTTCCCCCACAAATGCTGTTCAGTGCCCAGAACTAATTAGCCAGGCTCTAATTGGCTTGGAGTCTGAGAGGACCGGGCAAAGCCACTCCGTGGAGATGACACAGTCCACAGGGTTCCCTGGTTACTCTCCTGGTGACTTCCGCATTACATTTGTTCCGTTTGCTGGTAGCAAGCTGGTTTTTCAGATGGGATGGCTCGCCAGCTCCTTCTGCGCCTGTGAGCCCAGCAACCAGGAAGCTGGGAGGGGCCCTGGGGATGCAGAGGGAGACCACAGCCCGGCTTCTCCCCCCGACGGCTCCACCCTGTCTGTGCCCGGGAAGGAAGGAAGAAAGTCACAGACCCGCTGTCGGTCAGCCATGATGGGCCACCAGCCAAGGAGGGGAGGGCAGCAGGGCCTGGGAAAGGAGGACGTGTGGTGTGTGAGGGCAGCAGCCTGGGCAGCGGAGCCTCCGCGGGTGCCGAGTCCCCAGGGGGCTGCAGGGGAGCCTTGTGGGGCAAGGAGCCAGGGCTCAGAGCAGTGTGTGGTGAACAGCCTTCCACACAAGCAGCCAGGATGACCGTGCCGGCGGGCAGGCGCGGGAGGGAGGGCGCACGGCGTGTGGGGAGGGGTGGGAGCCTGGGGATCGAGACCCGCCTCCTGTCTGTCTCCCCTGATGGGAAGCCAGGGCCGCCGGAGGGGCGGGGGCTGCCTGGTTGAGGGAATGGAGCCACCAAACCACTTGGCCTTTGAAAGATGGGACTGGAGGTCTAACCTAAGCCTTGAGAAATCCCAGGAGAGCAACCCAGGTCCTTCGATTCTAGTGCAGACCTTAAATGACGTTTGAATGTAAGACAAGAAAATAATGACCCAAGTCCCTTATTTCTCTTCCCAGTACCCCCAGTGCATGGCTTATCGGGGCCCCTATAAAAGGCCGGCTGCATCTTGACGATGCGCTCACCTTGGTAACCCACATCGTGTACCCACCTCCCAATCAATGGATGCTTCTCATATCACCCTTTGAATACTACTTCTACAGTTTATCATTGACTGTCTTTATCTCCATATACCTGTGAGCTCTTTGAGGGCAGGGATGGAATCTTACCTTCATCCCCTTCTTAACTCCAAAGGCATGTGCTTCATTACATGAATGAAAAGTCAATAACGTTGGAAATTAGCTACTGCTCTGAACATCAGCGACTGTCTTTCTTGGGGGGCCTCTGGGGCCAGAGGGCATCTCCTTGTCTCAGGGTCCGATGAGGAAAGTCGCCTCCTGCCCCAGCCTTGAACACTCCTGTGAGGACAGAAGGGTGTTTGTTATCTGTCAGCATAATTAAAACCAGATTGAAACTCACCCTTCCTCCCAAAATGACATGAGAACTTGATGCCTAATGTCCATGAGTTTTGTGTTCCTGAGTCGTGCTTTTTTTTTTTTCTATCTTCATTTCTCATCAGCACAAAAGAACGTTCTTTCTCTTTTTGACTTTACCAGAAATGACACTTATTTGTGTAGGAAAGGCTAAGATAAGTTTCTAAGTAAAGGAAGCACCATCATTCTCTCTCTGTACATTGACTACTACCTGGGGAACGCCATCTGTACTAAAATGTACTACATCTTGTCCACGAAAAACCCACTGCATTTGTAATGCTCTATTGTCTGGAGCCTGTTCCCCCAGCATCCCTGGGGTCAGAGGTCAAACTCTTCTGGCAATGAAGGGTGGAAAGGTCACCAAGAAGAAAGTTTTCTGATTCCTCTGAAAAAGCAAATTCCCTTCCTCAAAGCACTTCCTCCCCCGCAGCTTACACTCCAATAAGAAGAAAGAGGTAGATGTGGGGGAAACTGTCATGTAGTTATTGAATGTGACCCCGTAAGGAAGAGATCAGAGCAGCGGCAGCAGCTGCAACAGAGAAAGCAGGCAGCCAGCCTCCGTTGCTGGTTTTCCCTCCCCGCAAATACCATTAGTATCCAAGTTTGTGCAACCCCACCCCCATCTAATTCCAGAGCATTTTCATCACCCCCCCCCCCAAACCTGTACCTATTATTACTTTCCATTCTCCCTTCTCCCCAGTGACCACCCATCTCCTTTCTGTCTCTATAGACTTGCCACTTCTGGACATTTCATATAAACAGAATCATACAAAATGTGGTCCTGTGTGTCTGACTTCTTTTACTTAGCTTAATGTTTTCACAGTTCATCTACGTTGTAGCGTATGTGGGTACTTCATTCCTTTTTATGGCTGAGTACTATTCCGTTGTACGGATACACCACATTTTGTTGCTTCATCCATCAGCTGATGGACCTTTGGGTTGTTTCCACCCTTTGGCCACTGCGAATAACACTGCTGTGAGCAGTTGTGTACAAGGTGTTGGGTGGACGTATGTCGTCCTTTCTCCTGGGTCCATATCTATGAGTGGAATTGCTAGGTCACATGGTGGCACAACGTTAACTGTGTGAGGAACTGCCCCGCTGTTTTTTCTTTTTTGTGGGACCACACAGTGGCCTGTTGAGTGGTCTCTCTGCCCCCAGTGTTGTCCCCTCCCTCTGGTCAGGTCTCCTCACCACAGCAGCAGGGAGCAGAGTCTCTCACCCAACAGACACTTTTAGAGCCTGTATAGGGAAGCAGAGAGACAAGGTCCTGTCCAGTCAGCTGATATTAAAGCATCAGCTGGGTCGTGACCCCCAGAATAAAAGCACGGCTCTGGGCCAGCAGGTCCAGAAGCATCTCCCCTGCGTTTCCCTCCCTCTTGCTGATGATTCTCCAGTCACTCTGGCCTCCCTTGGACACTGGCTTTCTCCCGCCTTGAGCCTTTGCACATACCATTTATTTTGTTTCCTCTGCTTAGATTAGAACGTGCCATTCTTCACAAAGCTGCCCAAATGAAGGAGTAAATAAATCGAATTCAGTGTATTCAATGTATTAACTTGCTCAAGGCCACACAGCTGGTTGATGGCAGACTCCCCGCTGGATTCTCGTATCAAAGGCTTTTTGTTTGTGTGTTTGTTTTAAATCTTTCCTTCTAGATGACCATCGAATATATCAGCCTGTATTACAAACCTTTTATTTAGCCTCTATATCAGGGCTTCTCGACCTCAGCACTATTGATATTTGGGGATGGATAATTCTTTGTGGAGGAGGTTATCCTGTGTGGTGTAGGACGTTTCTGCATCTCTAGCTTCCAGGCACTGGATGCCAGTAGCAACTCCTGCCCCCCAAACCTCCGCAGCTGTAACAACCAAAACTATCTCCAGCCATGGCCAAGGTCCCTTGGGGGAAAAACTCATCCAGTCGAGAACCACGACTCTATGGCTATTGTCTTGTTCAATGAATACTGGAGCTGAGACCAGCCAAGGGTATTTCCAACCCCTCCTTACCAAAGAGTTTTAGCCAATTCCCCTTTAATAAGGCAGGACATGAGGCCTGTATGAATTTAGAAGAAATCTGCACAACAAGGTTGGAAATCAAAAGAGTTTGTGCTTGATCTGCAATAAATGAGAATATTTGATATGCCAGATTCCTCATTCTTCCAAAATTCTGGTCAATAAATACCAACTTAGTGGGACCCTAACCCTCCTGGGTCAGGCAGACAGTATGATCTCGTACACTGAGGCATTTCCTCAAAGTATTTTTCTGGGTAGTTTGGATCATCCTTTTCAGAGATCAGAACTTTGGAGTGATGGGAAGGGGGAAGAGATGAACACGGAAGGAGACCCTATGACAAAAGGGTCCATTTTAAATGCTTCGTGTTAATTTCAACAGCTTGCATCTCCCTACATCCTTAGTATTAGGACTGAGTCTGAGAAGCTGAAATGAACACAATTGCTCCGAGCCGGTGACTTTGCAGACCAGGATGTTCCCCGGCTCCTGCAGTGCTGTTCAAACTTGGACGCAGCTGGGGGCTCCATTAGTAACCCCCGGGAAAATATGAGTGTTCTTAGCTGGAGATGTCCAAATAACAAGATTCATCTTTTTCCCCCTGGCAGAAGCAATAAATTTGCATGATGCATATTAAATGTTTAATTAAAACCCAGTGCTAAAGCATTTTCAGGAAGCTATAAAAGCCCTTTGGAGGAGGTCTGGAAGCCAGGGGTGCTTGTAAGTTTACCAAGTGCACTGCTGCCCATCGGACACCAGGTTTCATCTTCGCTCTGTTTCTCTTTGGTACCTGAGTTGTTTCACAGGTGTTGGAGGTGCCTGATGTAATGATTCAGTAATTCCGATGACCGCTAAAATGACAAGGATTTGAGACTTTAAGGGTAGAATCCCCAGACGCCCTCTGGCCAGATCCAGAATCCACGTCCTTGCCCCTCCTGCGGCAGGAAGTGAGTTGGGCACCTAGCGCAGAGCCCGTGTGGGAGAAACATAACGATCCCAAGAGCAATTTGAAGCTGAAGGGGGAAGTGCCTAGAGACAGAATTTTGCTCCTTCGGCTGTAATTGCCAGTGAGACTTCCTGGGGCCTCGGAGGGGGATGCTTTCCGAGCAGAGAAGCCGGGCTCAGACGACGCACCCCAGGTACTCTCACGCTGCAGGACGAAACCTTATTTAGTAGCTGTATTAATTGAATCCTCACTTTGGGTGGATTGATGGAATTCATATCAGAAGGTCCCCTCGCTGTTGGAGATGTCCCTCGCTGACTGCCTCCGCCCTCCAAAATAGGAACTCAACTTCACAGCTGATTTTTTTTTTCCCATTTGCTCATTCATGCCTGCATCCATTCATGCACTCATTTATTCCATCAAAGCCGATTCAGAACCTTCTAGGTATCCTGGGCTGTATTCGTCCTGAAGTCAACCTTGATCTACTAAATGCCAGGCACCGTTCTAAGCGATTTACACGCACCATTGTCTCCAATCTCCACGAGTCTTTTGAAAGCAGAGGGTTTTCTCCAGCTGGAAGCAGAAGGGGAAGTCGGAGAGGTTCAAAGCCCAAGGAGGACTGGGCCGGCTGTCGCTGGCTTGAAGCTTTCGGGTGTGGGGGGAGCATGTGACAAGGAAGGTGGGTGCTCCCCAGCAACAGAGAGTGGCTCCCAGCTGACAAAAGCCATGGGGACCTCAGCCCCACAGCTACAGAGAAATTAATTCTGCCAACAATCTGGATGAGCTTGAAAGGAGATTCTCCCCCAGGGCCTCCAATTAAGAGCTCAGCATAGCCGGCATCTTGACTGTGGCCTTGTATGAGCCCCTCCGCAGAGAACCTGCCTCAGCCCACTCAGACTTCGGACCAACAGAACCGTGATATCATACGTGGGCACTGTTACAAGTCGCGAAGCTTGCAGTCTTTGTTGTGCAGCTCTCGTGATTACTGAGGCTAATAGACTCACATCATTCTCACGATTAGGCGGCAGGCTGCTTACAGGTGAAGAAACTAAAATTCAGAGAAGTGAAGATACCTTTTCAAGCCCACACAGCTTGGCAGGGCGAGAGAGAGAGATTCAAACCACATGGTCTCCTGACTACAATTCTGATGTTTTTGTGGGTCTCACAAATCTCTGCGGTGGGTGGAATCGTGGTCACTCTCTCTCTGTGACCCTCTGGCATTGTCAGTGAGGGACACGAGATGTTGGTGTGAGTGGAAGCAGACCGGTGGGCCGGGAACCGGCTGGACGACACAGGTGGGGGCCATAGAGAAAGGGGGAGGGGTGTGGAAATGGAGGTACCATCAAAGGAGAGAAAACACAGCCGGTCAGGAGGTTAGGATGCGGGGAGCTTCTAGTTTTCATCCTCTTTGCACGGTCAAGGACGCACCCCCAAAGGTCCAAAGCGACAGCAGGCACTGTAATGTGTCACACCCCTGAGTCCCGGGGAGACTAACCAACCCTCCACGCTGTCCTCTGATGGCTGCCTTCCACACTGTTCTGTCCTGGGGGGCGGAAGCCACACATCAAAGCACAGTGTCCTGACCCCTGTGGCCCTGCAGCTCACCTGACCCTCACCTTCCGGGGGCAGATCCGGCTGTATTCTGAAGAGAAATGGAGCCGAAGCAAAAGGAGCAGGAATCTAACGTTTGACTTCTTCAGCGTCTTTAGAAATCACAGCTATCGTTTCCTTCTTTGATTATGACAGTGTTTTCTCCTCCTTATGGAAACTCTGGAAAGTACAAAAAGGAGCAAGAATAAAGGGAAGAGAACCACTTAGAAACAGTAGTTGTTAATAGTGTTTCCCCTAAGTTATTCTTTGGGTAATGAGTATACAAAAATATATACACAGATAGGCAATTGTATGACGAAAGGGTATGTTTAACAGAATTGGAATCAGATGGACTCTTTATTAACCAACTTTTCACTTCATAATCTACCATCAACGCTTTCCCTGATCACTGAGTACTCTTGGCAAGAGTGTCTTTACTGCCCACATAGCACTTAATCACATGATCATAAAAGAATTTACTTCACTTATTGCGGGACTTCCAAATACTTTCCAATTTTTCAGTAATATACATACTGCTTTGATCTCTACCCTTGTATATTTCTGAATAGCTGATAATCTCTGTAAGACAGAGAGAAAAAACTGGGGTTACCAGGCTGTGATGGTCAATTTCATGTGTCACTTGGCTGACCGCGGGGTGCCCAGATGAAACATTATTTCTGGGTGTGAGGATATTTCTGGATGAGCTCAGCATTTGAACCTGCGGACTCAGTAAAGTGGACGCCCTCCCCAGTGTGGGCAGGCATCGGTGACTCCGTTGAGGGCCTGAGTGGAACAAAGGTAGAGGAAGGAGGGCTTCACCTCCCTCACCCCTGCTCCTCCAGCCCCCTTTTTTTTTCCTGTCTCACCGCCCGAGCCCGCGCACTGCAATGAAGACCTAATGCAGCCAAAAATAAATAAATAAAATAAACAAATTTTTTTAAAAAATTAAAAAAAAAAAAAAGGGGTCCCAGATCCCTGCAGACTGGGATCTACACAGTCGGCTCCCTGGGTTCTCAGGCCTCTGGACTCAGACTCAATGACACCAGTAGTTTTACTGGGTTTCCAGCTTGCAGGTTATCTGACTGATTGATTGATTGATAGATAGTTATCCAACAGGAAATATATACATATCCTATCGGGTCTGTTTCTCTGAAGAACCCTGACTAATATGCAGGCTAAAAGGTATACGTATTTTAGGGTGCTGATATGACAAAGTATTTTCTAGAAAAGTTGTACCTGTCTTTCCACACAGAAATGTAACATGTTGCTAATGTAATGTGTTACATAATTTTCAAAGCTCAGCCTCCATTTGAACGGCAATCTCTCTCCTTTAATGCACTCCAACAGACTGCCCTGGAGTTTTTCCTTTGACCACTTTTCCACATTCTGTTCCACACAGCCCCCTGCACCCCAACCAGCAGCATCCTTTAAATGTCTCCAAGGAGCCAAAAAAAAAAAAAGGGAATAGGCACCACTTCCTCTATGTATCTACATTGTTTCTCTCTAAAGATATCCATGTTCATCTAGTTACACAGGACATAATTCAAAAGAAGATCAAATGTCAAATAACGTTTACTTCAAAATAAAGGGCAATTTTTGAGAGCTATGTTTAGATCTCTTTCCATCTATATATGTATTTTTAAAATTAATTAATTAATTGTATTTTTGGCTGCGTTGGCTCTTTGCTGTTGTGCACGGGCTTCCTCTAGTTGCAGCGAGTGGGGGCTACTCTTCGTTGCGGTGTGTGGGCTTCTCACTGCTGTGGCTTCTCTTGTTGCGGAGCACGGGCTCTAGGCGCGCAGTCTTCAGTAGTTGTGGCACGAGGGCTCAGTAGTTATGGCTCGCGGGCTCTAGAGCGCAGGCTCAGTAGTCTTGGCGCACGGGCTTAGTTGCTTCGTGGCATGTGGGACCTTCCAGGGTCAGGGCTCAAACCCATGTCCCCTGCACTGGCAGGCGGACTCTTAACCACTGTGCCGCCAGAGAAGTCCCATATCTATACATTTTGTAAATTAACTGTTTGTCCATAAGCTCCTACGCCTGGTTCTCAGCCAAGAGCAGCGGTATCACTTAGCTGAAGCTCTGGTGAAGAGAAGGAGAGAAAGCAAAGCTGACTGAAGATATGCCACAGGCTAGGCCCTGCACCAGGTCCCACCGTGTACGTGATTTCCTTTTAAGCCACACGAGGTATTCTTTTCTACATTTCTGTGCATAGGGAAATCAAGGCCTACAACCAGGACAGTGCTGAGCAGAGAGGAGACCTGAACACAGGAGACCTGAACATGGAGTCCCGTGCTCCATCGTCTCTGCGTTCTGTCACCAGTTACTCTAGAAACAGATCCTAAAGCAGGGCAGCGCCCACGGCAGCACCCAGATAGCACACTGGTAAGGCTCTCCCTTCACGCTGGCTTAGAATCCCCTTCCCTTCTGCTTCCTCACATCAGCTCTCAGATAGACTACCTGAACCCACGTGCCTACTGCAGCCTCTGCTGTTAGGGGTCTCCAGACTGAGACATTTGCTTAGAAGACCTGAGCCCCGGAACGACCCTGCAGAGCAGGGCGTGGCTCAGGTGCCGGCTCCCACCTCTCCTTCTCCAGTCTTCGGGTCCCCAGAGGCGACTGCAGCGTGCCCTGCTGTGCAAATGTCTCCAGGGAGCGACACCTGTCCCAGAGGTCTCGCTTTCGTCCCAGCTGGGCCTACGCGTGACCACGAGTGAGTCACAAGTGAAAGATGGAGACGTTTCCCCCGGCGACGGGGCTCTGGGTCCCCAAACCACATCTCTGCTTTCATATGTGTTGGGATGATTCAGCGGAAACTTCTGGTCAAACGGATCACCATAGCAACTTTCAGTAGACATCCAGCATGCAAATGAGAGAGTGGAAAGGGGCACTTTCTCAATAGCCCAAAACCAGCATCCTCTGAACCCTCCGGGGATCGAATTCTAGACTCTTTGAAGGTTTAATGCAGAGCCTGCTTCAATGCAGGTCGGCACCTGGCTGGGTGTGTTGGTGTCTTCAGATGCTAAAATGAGAAAAAGTCCCCGGGGGTGGTTTCTACACTCTGAATCGTTTGTCTCACAGGGAAGATGTCTACAGGGGAGCTGGGAGACTGGGGCTTCACATTTTCTCTGTGTCATTTCTAAGCTTCAGGATCTTGGCCAAATGACGAAAACTCTCTGAGCGTCAGGATTTTCATCTGTAAAATGAGGGTAAAAAGACTTGCTCAATAGAGATATGATGTGTCTGAAATGAGAACTGGAAAATGCTTTGCATGTATTAGTCCTTCAATAAATGGTAGCTACTGTACTATCCTCCGTGGACCTTCTGAAGCCCGTCTTTAATCGAATGCCAGTTACACGGAAACTGTGGTGTTGATCGTTAGGGATGTAAATGTCAGTGTGGCATCTGCTCTCAAGGGGCTACAGGAGCTGCTGAAAAGAGGGTGAAAGGGGGTTAAACAGATTAACCCTCTAACTCAAAAAATCTACACTACACAAATTTCAATGTAAAAAGCCAATGGGGTGTTGGAGAAGGAGAAGTGATTTTATTTTATTGACACATTATTCACTATATCAGACAGGAATGCCTTTGGCTGCAAACAACAGAAAAATTAATTAAGAGGGGGCTTAAACAAAGAAGGATTAATGTTCTCTCTCTCTCTCTCTCTCTCTCTCCCCCTTTCTCTCTCTCTCTCTCTCCCTTTCTCTCTCTCTCTCTCTCTCTCTCTCTCTCTCTCTCTCTCTCACACACACACACACACACACGCACACACACACCCCACACAGTTGTGGAGGTAGCTGACTGCAAGCATTAGTTCAGTGGCTTACTAATATTAAGGTCACCATCTCACCATCGCTGCAATTCTCATCTTTCCCCTCTTGCTATCACCTCATCTTCCCAAGGTAGCTGCTGAAGTGCTAGCCATCATGTTTGCATTGCAAGGTGGTAAAAACAAAAGGGAAATTGATGGTACCATTGGAATGTTTATATTTTATGTATGAGAAATGAGTCCCATGGCCTTTCTCAGCTACAAGATTATTCATGGCTTGACTTGATGAAATGTCACATCATCCCCAAGGAGGAGGCATGTGTATAACCCAAAGTCACAGGGTAGGAAAAGAGCAGAGGCCCTCTGACTTTGGTCCGTGCTCTGCCCTTTCGCATAGCTCAGCTCTGATTCAGGGGTCCAGAGTTTGTGGGGCGGGCTGGGGAAGGCAGTAAGGGCCTGTTGAGGTACACAGGACACCAGCTTGGTCTCTCCTGGGAAAAGGGTGAAGGTCATTCACGTTCTTCTGTAGAGAACCCTGATTGCATCCGGGGGAGAGGAGGAGAGAGACAAAGGAGGCTCTACTCCAGGTGGACCTTGGGGCACCTGGGAGAAGTACACCCATGTGATTCTATCTGATCCACAACTTTGTGTCTCTTGGGTCCTAGTGAGAAGGAGTGGGCCTGGGGAACCAAGAGTAGTTTTAATAAAGGGAATGTTTACAGAGCACAGGAACACAGAATATAGAAAAGCCTTAAGGCAAAGTATCATTTCCTGGGGTTTCCACCTTCAGGGAGCCAGGACCACCTCTTGCTGCCTGAAAGGGTAAGGAAAGGGTGCATCGTTCCAAGACTCAGGGAAGAGGGGAGGAGAGAGAGAAAGAGATGGAGAGAAAGGGAGAAAGAGACAGATAGGGGGAGAGAGAGAGAGAGAGAGGTGGGTGACTAGACAGGGCAGCCTGACTCCGACTCTATAGCTGTAACCTTCAGTCAAGGACACGAGTGATCCTGCAGGTTGGGAGGCAGGAGCTCACCCCACCGCCCTGCGGTGTTACTCAAAGGCCTGACCCAGCTGGAAGCCAGAGGGCTTGGCGAGCCCACCCACACTGATCTGTCTCCCAGAGCCCAGAGCTGAGTGGGGAGAGGTAGAGAATGGACCTGGCGGGGGTGGGGCTGGGTGGAGGCAGAGCCCAACAGAGACACAAAGTTGAATGAGGGCAAAGAGGCTGTTAACAGCCTTCCCCCAGTCCTTTGTGTTGTTACAATCACCCCCACCAGTGAATGTTCCAGAGGCTTCCATGGAGCACGTGAAGATGGGGGTTCACACGTCGGCCCCTTTGCCATGGTGTTCTCTACCCTTTATACTCAGCGCCTCACTGCTCACCCATCCTCACTACTCAGCCCATGCTCTAAATTTC